CGCAATTCCATTTGCGCTTTCGCCTTCCTGATAACCCCCTGGCATTCTCGAGCTATACATTTAAACCCCTCCCTGGTCATTTGTCCAAGTTTGCACTTTTTGTAAGCTCCCTTTTTGTGCTTAAGTTCACCATGGATTTCCCCTGTAAGTCAATCCGGTCTCCTACCATGTTTACCTCTCTTGCTACGCATTGGGATGGTTTCTTTCTGTGCCTTCAATAGGGCTTCTTTAAAATACTGCCAACTGTCCTGGACTCCTTTCCCCTTCATGTTAGCATCCCAGGGGATTCTGCCCCTCAGGTGTCTGAGGGAGTCAAAATCTGCTTTGCTGAAGTCCAAGGTGTGTATTTTACTACTCTCTTTTCTTCCTTTGGTCAGGATCCTGAAATCTACCATCTCCTGATCACTGCTTCCCAGGTTGTCACCCACCTCTGCTTCCCTTATTAGTTCCTCTCTGTTTGTGAGCAGAAGGTCAAGCTGCACATGACCCCTGGTTGGATCCTTCAGCACTTGTACCAAGAAGTTATCCCCAACATTCTCCAAAAACTTCCTGGATTGCCTGTGTACTGCCATATTGGTCTGCCAACAGATGTCAGGGTATTCAAGTTTCCCACGAGAACCAGGGCCTGCAATCTGGAAGCTTCTCTCAGTTGTCCGAAGAAGGCATGGGATCCTTATGCCTCCTCAGGATCTTGTGCAAAAAAGAGGTTTTTGCGCAAAAAAGAAACATCCACACTGCTTGTTTTTGCACAAAAACCCCTTGCGCAAAAACAGCTCAGAATAGATTATGCAAATGAAGCAACAAACTGCTAATCAGTGCTTCATCTGCATACTCTCTGCCAGCAAAAGCCTCAGTGGAGATCACGTAAGTAGCTTTAAACAGCAGATGAGCTCATTTACTACCCATCACTCCTGCTTTCTGTACGATTCTGCCCTATCTGGCTTTGGCAAGACTACAGGCAGACAGGGTCCCCAAAAGAAACACAAGAACTATGTAGCCTCCCCATTATTTATTCCTTCATTTACACCACTAAATGCTGCAACGCAACCACATAAATTATTCATGCTTCACACTATGACATAAGTTCACTATCGTGTCAGAGGGGAGAATATTACCAACTAAATCATCAGTATTGGCATTTCCTTTAGAGGTCCCCTCACAAGTTTTGCCCAGTCCCAATCCTGCTTGTATTACGTATGACATTTGACAGTCTGAAGTAGCAACAGCTACCAAACCCATCAACTATTTGGCATT